TGGCAGAAAACTATGTTCCAGGAGGTAAAGGACCAATTCTTGAGCTTTAATTCATTTATAAGATATAGTCATAAAACACCCAGGTATCTTGTTAAAAATGCAGATTTGGATTCAGGAGATCTGGGGGGAGCCTAACACTGCATGTTTCACCAATTCTCAGGTGATGCCGACGCTGCGGTCCATGGTCCCCATCTCGCCCGGCAGGCAGAGGGCCGACGTGCCCCTGGAGCTAAACGAGGCAGTAACTCCTCGGGTCTTGGTCCTCGAGTGTACAGCGGAGATGAGGCATGCGTGACGACATCTGTTGAGGTTGAAAAAATGACGCGTTCCGAAAGCACTTCACTAACCTTCCTTTCTCTCGTATTGATCTTGTTTTTATGAAGACCACATGGTTTTACAAAGCCTTTCTCTGCAGACAACTTACAAACAACCAGAATATGGGCGGCCAGGGGCCATAACTTATGCTCTTCAAGGTTCTTGAAATTAATGTTGAAAACATGACCCAAACTCATTCTGATGGACACCCTATTGATTCTGTTAAGAATTCTCAGGGCCAGATGGTAGCACAGCAGTAAACATGATGCTCTGTGAGGCTGACCTACGTAGAAAGGTTCAAGGTTCACGTCCAGAGCCCTCCCTGAGTAGAGCACGCTCAGAGTGTCCGTGACACAGAGCTGACTGCAGCCTGGTGGTGGTGGGGGTGGATCGTGGCATCAAGACCCTGTTGGGTATGCCGTCTCTTTTTCTCTCACTCATGGGAGAAATGAAAACACTTAAAAAAAAAAAAAGAAATCTAAAGATTTGATAGCTTCATGAAGAACTGTGGATGTTAACTTTTTTCCTGAAAAGAGATTCTTTTCCAAGCTTTGATTTCCATTTTATAGTATTATCCTTAAGACCAATTAGAACTGACCTCATTCTCCTGCTTACGTCCCAGCAAAAATAGTCAAGATATATTTGGTATTGGATTTTGTGGAAATGGTCAGAGAGTGAAGTTTCAGTCTAATGTTTACAGTTACATTATTTTCACATTCAAGGTCTCTTTAAAAAGTTCATTCAAAATGAGTATTATGAAAAAACTATGTATGGATTTCAATGTTTTTTTACACCAAAAATCAACTTGCACTCTAATTCCATCTTTTTGAAGAATTATTTATTTATTATTATCGTTAACATTATTTTTCACATGAGTTTTGCCAGAGAAAGACAGAGAGAGAGAGGGAAGGATTAAACCCATGGCCAGCCATGTGGGAATTCCAGCACCTTAACCACCATGCCCCCCGCTGGCCCTCTAATTCCATTTTTTCACAAACCTTCGGAAGCCCCCTTATATAACCTTTTGGCATTACAGAATGGCAGAACCCTAGTGAACCCTAGCTTTCCAAGAAGAAAGGTAAAGCACTTGAACAACGGTTGACTATTAACTGGCCTCTCAAAGAATTGCTGAGTAAACAGGGCTAAGATTTCAACTCAACTGAAAGAAAAACATGTTACTTACAGAGCATAGAAATTCTTTTGGAAAACAAGGTTCCATTTAAAAACGAACAGTAGGGCTGGCTCTGCAGTGCAGCGAGGACTTGCTGTTCAGGAGAAGCCAGATCCCACATGGCAACCATGGTTTGAACACTGTCCTGGTCAGCCCAAGGCAGGCCAGGCTCAAGTGGGAGTGCCTGGGATGCTGCAGGGGGGACTGCGGCATGGCCAGGCCCTGTAGAGGGTGCTCCTCTTTCGCTCTCATGTTTTCACATGCTCTGTTGTGAAAAAAGAAAAACAATTATGGCGGCCAGCAGGTGACGTGGTGGTTCAAGGCGCTGGACCGCCACATGGTCGACCATGGTTCGAGTCCTGGACCTGGTGGCTTGCTTTCTCACTTTCCTTCTCTCTCCCTCTGGTCAAATAGAAAAAATAAAAATAACAAATGGAATTAATTAAATAAATAAATCTTTATTTTGTTTTTAAGAGAAAGGCAATTATGCTAACGTTAAAATTCAAAGTTGATAAACTTTGCTTTCTAGAGAGGTTTTACTTCTTTATTATTAATATGTTTGCTATAGGGTAAGTGCAGCTGAGACAGGGAGAGAGGGAGAAAGAGAAAGCACCCGTGGGGCAGATAGCCACGCTGCAATCCCTTCTCCTCTCGGGATTTGGGGCACATCTGCATACACGTTCGGTGTACTTTTCAAACTGCTGGGTCCAGGACTTGAACTGTACAGTTGGCCATGTGAGATCCAGCTGCATTAACCTTCATGCCATCTGCTGGCCTGGATGTTTTTCTGTTTAATAATGGAAAATTTCTGGATAAAGGTCAGAGGTGGTGACAGCAAAAATAGTCAGATGGGACGCTAAGACCTTTACCTGAATATTCCACAATTTTTCCATAAAATAGTCCCAATATGTACCATATCAGAGTTGAGATGCTTTGCTCATGTGAGTTTGGAAACAAAAACGAGTTTCTTAAAGTCTACTGCCTTTAACTGATTCAGTTGTATTAATAGCCAACCCGAGAGAATGGGGGTGGAATTCTTTGCATGGGATGAACTAGAAAAGAGGAGACGGGCTGTTAAGGGGATGCCTGGTCTGATTTTCAAGCTGCCAAGAGGATTCAGATCAAGGTTGGGCACGGGAGATTCGACTCCCCATGCACAGTGCTTCACTAATGGGCTACAAGGCTGACCCATGCGTAACTCCTAATAAACATATACGAATACAGACATATACCATAATACTGGGGGAGAATGGCATACCTTAGTCGTTTTGAAAACAGGGCAGGTGAAAGGGTCAATCATGATTATTTTATATGCTATTTAACTAAAGACAAATTTGAAAAGAGTTGAGTCAAACTTACTGAGAACATTTATTGGTGGCAGCCGTCTCTTTTTCTCTCACTCATGGGAGAAATGAAAACACTTAAAAAAAAAAAAAGAAATCTAAAGATTTGATAGCTTCATGAAGAACTGTGGATGTTAACTTTTTTCCTGAAAAGAGATTCTTTTCCAAGCTTTGATTTCCATTTTATAGTATTATCCTTAAGACCAATTAGAACTGACCTCATTCTCCTGCTTACGTCCCAGCAAAAATAGTCAAGATATATTTGGTATTGGATTTTGTGGAAATGGTCAGAGAGTGAAGTTTCAGTCTAATGTTTACAGTTACATTATTTTCACATTCAAGGTCTCTTTAAAAAGTTCATTCAAAATGAGTATTATGAAAAAACTATGTATGGATTTCAATGTTTTTTTACACCAAAAATCAACTTGCACTCTAATTCCATCTTTTTGAAGAATTATTTATTTATTACTATCGTTAACATTATTTTTCACATGAGTTTTGCCAGAGAAAGACAGAGAGAGAGAGGGAGAGTGAGAAAGCAAGCCACTAGGTCCAGGATTCAAACCATGGCCAGCCATGTGGGAATTCCAGCACCTTAACCACCATGCCACCTGCTGGCCCTCTAATTCCATTTTTTCACAAACCTTCGGAAGCCCCCTTATATAACCTTTTGGCATTACAGAATGGCAGAACCCTAGTGAACCCTAGCTTTCCAAGAAGAAAGGTAAAGCACTTGAACAACGGTTGACTATTAACTGGCCTCTCAAAGAATTGCTGAGTAAACAGGGCTAAGATTTCAACTCAACTGAAAGAAAAACATGTTACTTACAGAGCATAGAAATTCTTTTGGAAAACAAGGTTCCATTTAAAAACGAACAGTAGGGCTGGCTCTGCAGTGCAGCGAGGACTTGCTGTTCAGGAGAAGCCAGATCCCACATGGCAACCATGGTTTGAACACTGTCCTGGTCAGCCCAAGGCAGGCCAGGCTCAAGTGGGAGTGCCTGGGATGCTGCAGGGGGGACTGCGGCATGGCCAGGCCCTGTAGAGGGTGCTCCTCTTTCGCTCTCATGTTTTCACATGCTCTGTTGTGAAAAAAGAAAAACAATTATGGCGGCCAGCAGGTGACGTGGTGGTTCAAGGCGCTGGACCGCCACATGGTCGACCATGGTTCGAGTCCTGGACCTGGTGGCTTGCTTTCTCACTTTCCTTCTCTCTCCCTCTGGTCAAATAGAAAAAATAAAAATAACAAATGGAATTAATTAAATAAATAAATCTTTATTTTGTTTTTAAGAGAAAGGCAATTATGCTAACGTTAAAATTCAAAGTTGATAAACTTTGCTTTCTAGAGAGGTTTTACTTCTTTATTATTAATATGTTTGCTATAGGGTAAGTGCAGCTGAGACAGGGAGAGAGGGAGAAAGAGAAAGCACCCGTGGGGCAGATAGCCACGCTGCAATCCCTTCTCCTCTCGGGATTTGGGGCACATCTGCATACACGTTCGGTGTACTTTTCAAACTGCTGGGTCCAGGACTTGAACTGTACAGTTGGCCATGTGAGATCCAGCTGTATTAACCTTCATGCCATCTGCTGGCCTGGATGTTTTTCTGTCTAATAATGGAAAATTTCTGGATAAAGGTCAGAGGTGGTGACAGCAAAAATAGTCAGATGGGACGCTAAGACCTTTACCTGAATATTCCACAATTTTTCCATAAAATAGTCCCAATATGTACCATATCAGAGTTGAGATGCTTTGCTCATGTGAGTTTGGAAACAAAAACGAGTTTCTTAAAGTCTACTGCCTTTAACTGATTCAGTTGTATTAATAGCCAACCCGAGAGAATGGGGGTGGAATTCTTTGCATGGGATGAACTAGAAAAGAGGAGACGGGCTGTTAAGGGGATGCCTGGTCTGATTTTCAAGCTGCCAAGAGGATTCAGATCAAGGTTGGGCACGGGAGATTCGACTCCCCATGCACAGTGCTTCACTAATGGGCTACAAGGCTGACCCATGCGTAACTCCTAATAAACATATACGAATACAGACATATACCATAATACTGGGGGAGAATGGCATACCTTAGTCGTTTTGAAAACAGGGCAGGTGAAAGGGTCAATCATGATTATTTTATATGCTATTTAACTAAAGACAAATTTGAAAAGAGTTGAGTCAAACTTACTGAGAACATTTATTGGTGGCAGCTAAGACTGAGGAAGCGGGGGGCCTCTCTGCTGAAGATGAGTGAGGGGAGTCCCGCCTCGTTTCTCCAGTACTGGCGGTCACCCTCGGTGGGGCGGTCGCACTCGGCCGGGCCGACAGCATGGCCTCCAGGATGTCTTGGTGGTGGCGCCTGCTCCTGCCAACTAACTCTGCTGCACTGTTTGAAGTCGCTTCATTTTTGTTTTCTGCCTTCGAGCAGTTCTCAGTTTTTTAGTTTTTAAGAAATTGTCCTCTAATTGGTACAGAAAATCTTCAATTTGGCCAACCTGGAAGAAACAGATACAAGATTTGTTGTTGATCTCCTGGGGGATGTTTCCCCACTCTCCTTTTCTCTCTCTCTCTCTCTCTGGCAAGTGTAATGTTCCTCTTTTTTTCTTCTTTTTTTCCTTAAGCCACACTCCAAGAAATAAGGTAAAATGATGATATACAAAACAATAATTCTTGAAAAAAAATTTGTCCTTCTCAAAAGAAAACCTAGAAGTATCCAATGACAGTTGGTTGAATGTATTATCCTGTTGGTCAGGATAAACTATCCAATAGAAATTCATATATGTATGCTGAATTGGGCTTTCATGAAAGTCAGGAGATATAACAATTCATACATAACCCTGACTCCTAGGCCCTGCATATTACATTACTCACTGAGAGCCCACTATCATAAAGCCAGCTCAGAGCGCGAGTGCTTGCTATTCATGCATAAACGGATGGGTCATCTACTTAAGATAAAAGCACTTACAACTTCAATTTTCCTATTTTGAGTTCCATTTTTAAATCACTTGATTTATCATTCAGAGTAATATCCGAAAGATAATTCCCATTGTCAAAAGGGAATAATGAATGGTAACATTCACCCATATGTTATGCCCCGTCTTAAACATCACGCCAGGTGATGTAAACTGCCTCCTGGTTTTCGTAAGACAGCATGATAACTTATTTATGTGAGAACAATTATTTTTGAAACCTTTGAAAAATGCTTTCAAAGAATTTTCTCCAAAAACGCAGTTTTCTTTAGGATGTTAGATCATTGCATAAATCATTAAAATAATTTCACAGAATATTTTTGGATCTTTGCCTCCTGTCATGAAGTCAACACATTTTAAAATGTACTTCATATAAATATAAATATATATATGCACACACAAACATATACATACACTATCCAACTCTCACCAAAATAATAAACCGAAATAAATAAATAAACAAACAAAGCTCCAGAGCCCAATCAATAAAGATATAATGGGTGGCTCTCCACTGCTACTTCGATAGTTGAGTTGATGGTTCATTCTTATTTGCACTGAAAATGTTTCATTTAAATCAAAGCTCTTTATAATTAGAATGTTTGCAATTAGCCCAAATACAACTCAAAATTACAACCCTAGTGCAACAAAAAAGCTTCCTTCAATGAGAAAGAAAAATAACTGTTTAAAAATATCCATTAGGTGGCTGCTGTTTTTTTTTTAATTGTGTTTATTAAGAGCAGTATTGACTGAGCTGCCTCTCCTTTAAAAAAGACAAAGAGCAGCACAAGACATGTCATTGAACGAGGAGCACCGCGAGCTATGCCAGGGGCCCAGAGCGCACACCCAGAACGTGTGCCCGCTGCCTCTCGGCCCCTCCCACCTGGTCTGTCCACATGCTGTGCTGTCAGTCTGTCTCCTAATGACATTGCGATGGCCTTTGAAAAACACAAAGCCGAGGGACCAGCAGATGGTGTGATGGTTATATCGCTGGACTCCTGCGTAGTTGACCACAGTTTGAGGCCTAGAATCTGTGGCTAAAACTCATGCCAAGGATGGGGGGACAGCTCACACCAGGTGCGTATGCGTGCATGCCCAAATCCTGAGAGGAGACTGGAGGAGAAGGGACTGTGGTGTGGCCATGCCCCCTGGGGGATGATTTCTTGCTTTCTGTCTCTGTCTCTCCTGAGATTGCATGCATCCTAGAGCAAAAACGTTTCTAAAAAAACAGACAAATGAAAAACTCCATCAGCATGTGTGCGTGTATGCTCCAAAATCCCAACAGGATGGAGACATGAAGGAGGGATTGGGGTGTGACCACAGCTCATGGAGGGGGGGGGGCGCGGCTCTGCATTCTCCCTCTCTCTGTCTCTCTTTGTCTCTCTCCAGTGAGTGTACATAATCTTTGGCAACTGAAAAAAATAAGCTAAGGATCTTCAGAAAGCAAAGTGATGCTTGATATGACATATATTGAAGGCTTTATTTTTATTTTATAAATTAAATAGCACTATTTTCCCCATTTTAAAAATTTACAATCATCACTGTACATCTTTATGGGGTTTTCTCCAGCACAAGTACAGTGTATATTAGTCAAGTCAAAAATACTGCCACACACATTATCAGCAGCAGATAACTTCTCATTTTTGTGTCTATTAAATGCCTTGTTTGTTTTATCCTTCATCTACTTTTATACACCGTCATTCTATTACCAGTATTTAACGCTGAGATAATAACAACACCTCGCCTCCATTCCCGAAACAGCTGGGGACAGAAATGGACGCAGAGTTTGCAGTATTGAGTTCTGCTCTTGGTTTGGTTTATAACCGTGCTCTGTGAACCCAGGGAAGTCATTGGGCTTTCTGAGTTTGTTTTTCACCAATATTTAGTATTAAGAGTTGGTTGGCTTAGAAATTAACAAGGGCACACCTTGTCCTAAGATTCTAGGACTTGTACTTACATCTGATCTAAGTAGTCCAGTCCTAAAGATGAACACTCACATTTTCAAGTCAGATTGTCCCCTCAGATTGCACCGCAGTGTGCACGGCAGCTCTGTAGTCAAGTGGGTCCATTTTATTTCTGAACTTATTGAAGTGTAGGAGAACTGCAACATGCTTTTAATAAAGTGGGCTCTTTTTTTAAGTCAAGGAAAGAAAAATGCCAGTTGAGGAGAAAATAGATTCATATAACTAAGAAGAACAGATTGCAAATGATAGAAATTTCTATAAAGCCCTTGGGAAAATAAAACACAAATACGTATGTCTGGAAGGAAGAAAACGAGCCATTTTGGGAGCAGAGGCTTCGTTAGACTCTACAGAATCTACTTGCTTGACGATCAGACAGGCTGCTTGGTCATTCTGGGTCTAACTGTCCCCTTTGTGAGATGGGCAGATGACACTTTATGTACACACATGCTAATGCCGACTCGGCGTTACAGCCATAGCAGATGGAGCTCGCAGAGAACGTTGAGATGTTCGATGACTGAAGGGAGCCGGAGTCCTCAGTAGGAGGGAGGCCTGCCCTGTCAGAGCTGTTGGTCATAACTGACACCACAGAGTAAGGAAAGTGTCATCAGCGAGATTCTTGGGGCCTTTCCCTTCATCTCATTCAGTAATGTTATGGGCTGCCTTGTGCCTCCCCTCCATTCGGGTTTCCATGTTCATCCCCGGAGTCTTAGAAAGTGACTTCATCTGGACGGAGGTCTTTATCTGGGGGTCGAGTTAAAGTGATGTCCTTTGGGTAGGCTCTACGTCAAATGACTGGTGTCCTTATAAAAAGGGGGGTGTCTGGAAACGCACGGGTACACACGGAGGACATCGTAGATGGGGGGGGACATTGTGTGGAGACGAAGGCAGAGACAGGGTGCTGCTCCCACAAGCCAGCCAACCTCCAAAAACTAGGGGGGTGCGGCGGACCCTTCCTCACTGCATCTGGAACCGGTCTTGTGGACGCTTTGGTCTTGGACTCCTAGTTTGCAGAGTTGGAAACAGCACACTTCTATTGTTGAGGACACTCAGCTTGGGGGGCTTTGCTGCAACAGCCCTAGCAAATGTTGGGTTGCCAGAAAAGTCATGACGCATGTTTGCATAGAAAAACACGTCATGGGACCAGCAGTTAGCGTAATGGCTAGGTGGCTGGACTCCCACGTAGTCGACTGCAGTTCGAGTCCCTGACCCAGTGGCTTAAACTCACGCCGGGCGTGTGTGCGTGCGTGCGTGCCCAAGATCCCGAGAGGAGAATGGAGGAGAAGGGATTGTGGCGTGACCATCCCCCCTGGGGGGTGATTTGTCGCTTTCTGTCTCTGTCTTTGTCTCTGTCTGTCTGGTGAGCACACGTGCCCTATAGCAAAAAAAACTCTCCAAAAAAAAGAAAGAAAAAAACATGTCATGACTTTTCTGATGACCTAACAGATGGAATTACTCAGGGCCGGCTTGACGTTTAGCTGTTGAGTGCTGTGTGTAGGGATTGGGATTCTGCATGGCTGATGGTGGTTTGAATCCTCACCCAGGTGGCTAGGAAGACATACTGGGCACATGTGTGCATGTGCCCCAAGTCCCCATGACACGGAAAATGGAGGAGAAGGAATTGCTGCATAACCAAGCCCCACTGATGGTTGTTTTCTCTCTCTAGTGAGTGAATACGCCCTCTGGCAGTTAAAAACCATCTACTAGGCGATAAAATGAAAGGAACATCAATTAAATTCTAATTTTCCCTTCAGATGTGAGGGATGCTTTGATGCTTTAAAGACATGTACATTTTCCATGGTTTTATGCCCCCGACGTGGTCGGTGTTCGCCGCAGGGGCTCAGTCTGTACCTTGGGAACTAGGGTGGTCCCTTGCCAAAAACAGTGGTAAGAAGAAGCCGATCTCAAACATGAGTGAATGTGTAAATTACACCGAGAAGAACACGCTTGCCTTGAATGTGGGGTTTCATTAACTTTCATGTCTGAACCAAGGAGAAGGGATGAGGCATGTTTATGAGGGTTTGCCTGCACGTGCTCATCCCTCAGAGCTCAGCCCTCAAAGAGTTTTTTTAAACCTTTAGAAGATGTTTTCTAGTAGAAAGAAAGTTGGGGAAGCAAGAATCAAACTCTTTAGGAATAAATATCAGGTTATGTGACAGTACTGCCAGATACGGAATAAGACTGTGTTTTTGGTGATTAGCAGTTTGGACCAAAATCCTCTCGGCAAAACAGACATCTCACTCCACCACGTGGATTCCATCACGTTTGTTCCTTTGCTCTGTTGCAGTTTAATTTCCAGACTAAATGCTTTTAAATATTAATTATCCAAGATGGTCTGAATTTTAATTCTTATTAGAATTACAATTGTTTTCAAACAGGCTTGAAATTAATTTCTAAAATAAACTTGGTTTTTGAAACAAAGTTGTTTCTACTAGTCACGATATAGCAGTTTTTAATTTTTCATTTTTAGCTTTTGGCCAGTATTCAAATAGACAGATCAGCCCCTTTTTTTCTACTTTTCATTTAGCACATTGGGTATTTTATTCGGTATTTGAGTCACAGGAGTAC